TCATGTTTTTTTTTTTGTATTTTATAAAAAATGATATAGTAATTGATATAGTAATTTATGTTTTTCGAATGCAGTCATGAATGCGTCTTTTGCAGTAAAATTGACTATGAAAAGGCAAAGTTCTAAAAGATCATGATTGAATATATGTATATATTTATTCTCCTTTGGTATTTGTCACATTATATTTTTGTATTTTTACTTGCTCTTAAATACAAGGAGTAATCGTATTCCTGATACACGTCAGAAGTATCAAGTAGAATTGAAAACAAGATAAAAATAAAAGTGTTAAGTAACCTGATATCTTGTTGAAGACTTCATTTATTCCGTTATCAGACTCTAAAACCGCTGTTGGCCTTGACGAAGGCTGCACTGAATTACCGACGTAGATAAAATCACGGCTTACGTACATTATTCCATGCAGCCACGGCGTGGCGTGACGTGCAAGAAGTGCAAATGTAAAAATGTAGTCAGTGTTATCCAAAGTAAATAAAAAAGCAACATTGTTACAATTTACAGTGATGTTTAAAATAAATAATTCCGCAAAAGTACATCAAAACTTTTTGATGATAACCTTATCGTAACGTAAAGAAAAACATTCTGTAAAAAATATATATAATATGTTTAGAAAATATAAAAATGATATTAAGTATATTGACACAGCTTTTGATAAAAATACTAAAAATACTACATGTACATTTAAAAGTATATTAGCAGAGATATGGAAGTAAATGCGAAGAAGAATTCGATTTATTTGCAGTTTTTCATTTTAAATGATATTAAAAATACGTGCGGCCGATAAGTCGTTCGCGTCAAACTTCTCGACGGAGAAGAAGATGGCGCACCGGTCACGTGGCGCAATCCAAGAGCAAATTTAAACTATTATCGAAAACTGCAATAAAATGTAAGACAGAGACAAGACTAAGCGAAATGTTACGTGAGAAGAGTTACCCGACGCCGATGCATCGTTCTGCATTTTAGAAGAGAATGGAACAGAATGATATACCAAGCAACGATAAGACGAGCGTCAATATCACCGAAGAGAGAAATGTCACGTTGAAAAGAAAAGAGAAAAAATAAGAGAGACAGAGACAGAGAGAGAAAGTGTTAGAAGAATCAACAAAGATAACAAATACGAGGGATAAAGAGAAGAGTAACAACGATGAAGAGAGAACACGCGAGTAAGACAGACGTTTTAAAGAACGAAAATGAAAGATCGAGAAGGAGGAACTAACTGGAAGCGAGGAAAAGATGAACGGTGACATGACGTTGGAAAGAGACGACGCTACAAAGAGTGAGAGAATAGGACACAATGAGAAACGATGAGGTTGTGGAGTAACGAGGAAAGAGCTATCGTGTCGTGGCGGAGGAGTGGGGATGGAGTGCGAGAAGGAGAGAGAAAACGAAACAGTGGGGAGGGGGGAAGGAGCGAGATAGCGGTAATCGTGGAAGTTCGTGAAGGGAGACGGTGGAGGTTGTGGTCCTCCGGCATTGGAGAGCGCGGAATTGTGGAGTAGAGCGAGCCGACGACGCACCGTTCGGGTCGTGCTCCTCGTCGAGGCTTCTTGTTCTCTTCTTGCGGCAGTTTTGTTGCGGGTTGAATGGACGAGGGTACCAAGTGCAGAGTGCCGATCGGCGACGCCTGCGTGTCTATGCGCGTGTGCTTCGACTCCCTGTGCTTCTCGTCGACGCAGCAGCGGCTCGCCGACGAGGAGGACGCCTCCCAGCTGCCGACGCACGGCGCCGTGGCCGTGGTCGCCGCAGCCGGCCAGAGGGCCATTTCGAACGTCACCGGAGCGACCACAATCACAGCCATGGGCACCCTTCGCGAGCTACAGGAATTGCTGCGCGTCAAGGACGAGAAGATCGCCGAACTCGAGGCGCTCCTCTGTCACCGCGACGCCGAGATACAAGAACTACGGAGCCATCTCGACAAGTTTCTCAGCGTGCTCCCTTTCAAGTCACCCTTGACACCGACGAAACCGAGACCCAGGAAGCAAAGGGCGCAGGGTATCTCCGCGGAACCACCGCTTCAGGAGCTCGCCACGCTAACAGTC